TAGAAAAATAGTAAAGAGCAAAATATTAGAGAGACGTGGTAAAAGAGAAAAGATGACTAAATATATATGTATCTATAAATATAAATATATGTACACTAGTGATTAAATAAGAAAATCTTGAAAAGAAATATGACGGGAGGGCAGATGGGATATTGCACAGGAATGAGCAGCAGAAAATTTAATTGCAATGCCGTAATATGACAGGCAGTATTTAGGCAGCATTGGCTATTAAGAAACGAGTCCTCGTGTGCCAATGTACTTTTATATAATTAAAGCAACAAAAAATACCTTCGAAATGGAAAAAATAATTATATAACACGAGTGATGTCAGGTGACTTGTGCATGCAAAGACCTCGGACACAGGTTTGACAGTCAGTTAAGCTACAACTCCTCTAAATGACCCAGAAAAGAGGTGTTAGGTTAAGATGAGGGTGCCGTAATCTCTAAAGTAAATAACGATGGAGGCAATTTTTCAGCAGTGGTTAAATTTTACAGTTATGTTTTCTGACATTTCATAATTAAAGCTGTAATTACGTTCTTGTTTTTGCAATTGCTGTATCAGTACTTTTTCAGTGAATAGCACAGTGTGTGTGAGTGAGTGTGTGTGTGGGCATCTGTACCATCCTTGTCATCGCCTCTAGCAATGGCCTCCTACTATCCCTTTCACTCACATGTTTTTATGCTTTCTGGCTTATGCATTAGCTCTCTTTGTGTGTGTCCTTCAAAGAAAAGCAGTGATGCATACACAGCCGTGTCCTCCCCTTTGCTTTCACTCCCTCCTTTGCTCTTTCTTTCTCTATTTGTGCCCTTCCAACTGCACTGCCCCTACTTTCGTCTCACTTCATTTGACTAGAAGACTAGTGATGAAGTAACAGCTGCCAGACCTGTTAGACATTTTACTGCATTTTTCTTAGTAAATTGGAGTAGTGAGATAGCATGTTTTTGAGAATTTTGATGATTTTAGAGAAAAAACACTCTGGACTTTGGGTTAATTTGGACTTTTAAACCATTTTATATTTTTCTTAATCCATGGATACTGAAGCTTGGGAGCTAATTCATTGAATTAACACAATTCCAGGCTGTCAGATTTGATCATTAAAATCTAAACACAGGCTAAACACAGTTAGCGTCGTTAGTGCTGTTTCAAGTAGTTCAAATGATGTGGGATGGCCGGATTGATCCAAGGAGGCTAAAAGCCAGTGCTTCTCCTAGAGGGAAACCTCTAGCTGAATCTCCCTCCTTTCCTGTTTCTCCCTCGATCCCTATTCCCCCTCCTTTCCATGTGTCACCCCCTTTCCAGCCCTCTCCTGCTTTCTCCCCATCACGGCATCATCTTTTGCGTTCGTCTCCCTCCTTCCCTGTCCCTTCCCCTCCTTCTCACCGGCACTACAACCATCCGGTTGCCACCCCCTCCTCTTGTCCTCCCCACTTTCCCTCTTTCTTTGTTGCCTCTTCTGTCCACCCTTCCGCTCATCCGTCCCTCCAGCACTCGCCATCCTTTCCTGCACCTGCTCCTCGTCCTACACCAACGGTTCAGCCCTCACTCCATCCCTTCCCATCAGTTGCTCTCGTCTCGCCTCCTGGCCCTCGACCTTCTCCTCTCTTGCCCCATCCCTCGCTCCATCCCGCTGTGTCTCCCTCTCTGTCATCTGCTGATCGTGCTGTTTGTGCCTCTCAGGAGCTGCACAGGAGATACGAAGCAGCTCCAGAATCAACAAAGACCAAGGCCCTGCAGACAGTCATCGAAATGAAGGTAAACAAATGCTAATGTAATTTATAAAAGTGTTTGTATGTATCTATATACAGGGATTTAAATTTATGTCTACATTTATAGAGGATTATTTTGACCCCAACAATACAAATTGTTAAAAAAATGATCTGAAATGCTGCTAATTCTGTAGTGCTGTATTTAATGTGCATATTATGTGGATATTATAGCTATTAATGACGTAGGATTGCTAGAGCATGAATGAATTACACAGTCCAAATACTTGGGACTATCACTGGTCTTCATCAATGTCGAAATGCACTGAGTTGCTGCTGTATGATTTGCTGATTATTAATAGTGTTATTAAATGAAAAGTTTAATGAGTGTACATGTGGTTGCTGGGTAAATATGATGGAAAATAAGGTAAAGAATAGACACAAATACACCATGAAGTGCAGTTTCACTAAACAAGACTTTAAATACCCCATATTAATATATTTGTTGCATTGGATAACATTTTAGACTCAAAAGAAGAAAACAAATAATTTTTCAGAATCTCAGTCGGAGGTTTATCCAACACACAGCATGAACTGGACATTAGTGTTTCTGACCTCTAAATGCGTTCTACTACCTGCTGGAAAAACATACCTAACGCATCTTTTTTGTTACGTTCTGTTGAAAGTCTTTCTGTCTCTGCAGTTAATATTGACAAGATAAAGTTGGCCAACTGCTATGTCTGTTGGGCTTCACTGATTATTATTGAGATACAGATTCAAGTATTTTAAAAACATAATGGATTATTAGATAAAGTCTTTAAGCATTCAACAATAGTTACATTTACATTATTTTCACGTAGACTTCCTTTAATTGCATTTCCACCTGTGCTCCTATTTCACCCCATTTTATTATCACCGTATATTTGTTTATGGTCTGATTAGTTAGATGTGTTTGTCTCCTGTCAGGATGCAAAAATCAGCTCGTTGGAGCGTGGCATGAGAGAGCTGGAAGAGGAGGTGATGATGCTGAAATCCAATGGCGCTCTGAGCAGTGAAGAGAGGGAGGAGGAGATCAAACAGATGGAGGTCTACAGATCCCACTCCAAGTTCATGAAGAACAAGGTGATAAATGTACAAACACATACAGTCCAGACAGTAACTGAAACATAATAATAGATACAGCATTAAACTGATTAAGAGTTGAGAATAGTTGTTAAGTTTGAGGACAAATTGCCTGTAAATAGAGTAACGAGGCCACCGTGGAATGATACAAACCTTATAATAATTTAGGGAAATACGAAATCGTTTCATCTCTCAAACATGGCAGTGGTTCTGTCAGCAACAAGGTGGCAGCAGTGAAGGCAAAGCATCAAATAAACATTTAAACAATAATAAGAATATATCCTTATATCTATCAAAGGACTCTAAATAGAATAGTTAGCATGTAGGATTTGTTTGACCTTGTGTATTTACTTCCTTTTAAGTCCCAGTATGATTTAAAAGGGCTACACTGCTCTATCTTGTCAAATTTTAGTCAATGTGCTGGAGACTATAAAAAAAGGTGTTTTTGCTCCATTATTGCCTGTCTGGTTGTATTTGCTTGTCTCACCATTTTTTCCCTTTGTGTTTTGAACAATATCTGGATTTTCTTGCTTAGCTGAGAATAAATTTGCTTTTTCACACTCACTACCTTGACGGATACAACTTCACTGTCAGGAATAAAAAGTGTCTGTGGGAGCCGAGCTCATTAAAACGGAAACTCCGTATACGTCTGTCGTGTGGGGAGGCGATCCAGTTTGGAAATTCAGCAGACTTTTTGTGTGTGCGAGCTGATATATTCTTGTTTTTCTCTGTAGTGGATTTGTGTCTCAAAACTGGAAGGAAGTAATTTACATGGTGTACCTTTTTATAGTCGGATTTCATTGCTGTTGGCATGCGTATCTGTGGTAATACACTAGATGCATTCTTGTTTTGGACATTATTAGCTTTAACGTGTATTTAATCGAAGGTGTAAAGCTCTCCTCAATCAGAGCTTTTAATAATAGCAACAAAGAGCCATTTCATTTGTTAATCAAAATAAAGATAATGCACGCTTCTTCACATGTTCAGAAGTCTTCAAAGGACACAGTACTGTAAAACAATGTAGGGGTTATATACATTATTTAAGCATGCCAGATGCAACTGTGGCAACATACTTGTTATGGCCCGGTGTGCTCTCCATTTTGCTAATTAGATGTTTGCCCTTCTTCAAAGCTCTGCCACTCACTCCAAAATTGATTCAAGAAACACCATTAACTGGAGTTTTTAATCCTTTTAATGCATTTTTTGGAATCTAAGCTGGAAGAGCAGATGCTCCCAGCAAAAGCTTTCGGTCAACATGTGCTTATCTAGTGGTCAGCTGATCTGATGGGGCAGTAAAAGGAGCAGGCAGGCTGTTGTGGAAACAGTTCAGTATAACACGGTATTATTTATAATACTGTAGGCAAAATGCACACAACAGGAACGGAGGTACCTGCAGAGGCTGTAAAGTTACTTATGTTAATACTAGTAATGATAAGATAAACTGCAGGCTGTTGCTGCCCTCACACCTCTGACTTATTGGAAGCAGGTTAGAGGCAAGGAAGAAACACAAGTAAGGGAAGCAAGATGCAAAGCTTGGCTAATGGGAAGCACCCATGTTGATGCCCTCCTCTCCTGCCAGGTTGAGCAGCTGAAGGAAGAGCTAACTCACAGCGAGTCAGAGAAGGAGGAATTAAGGCAACGAGCCAATGAGCTTCAGCAGGAGGTGTCGGCAGTAAGAGACACACCTCTGTGTCTGTTTGCGCATCCTTTCTTTCTTTCTTTCTTTCTTTCTTTCTTTCTTTCTTTCTTTCTTTCTTTCTTTCTTTGACTGGCTAACGTAGTTCTAGTAGATTTCCAATAGATTTCCGGTAGCATGCTGTGTGTTCAGACAGCAGTAAGCAACTATAACATTCAAATGTCAAAACTATGCACACCAGCTGCAGAGTGCATCGTGGACCGTTCACCCAATATCCACTCATGAGGTGTTCTTATTTTTCTCATGTAGTTATTGCATCATATTGCCATTAACATGGTCCATTTTGCATATATCTGCATCCTATAACTGTTTTGAACCAGTTCAAGACATGAGGAATTACAGAGGTTAAGTTTAAAGCCAGTCTAAAATGAATCGAGCCATTCTCCAAAACCTGGGTTAGCAAATGTGTTTTCTACACTTTGCTAAATACACCAGGAGAAAGCATTTTCTATTCTTTTGGTGAGCTGACAAAGTTAGTCTCTATAAACAGCTCAGGAATTACAGTTCTCTTTGTGTGTGAGATCAGTGGCTTTTGATAGTAATAGTCGTACGCAGCAGTCTGATCGATACGGCTACAGAATTCCAGCAGAGTCCAGTTGTGCTGTGCTGCAGTGTCTGTATCACTAACACACTTCTCTTTGTCCTTGCATGAGGTTTCAGTCCATTTGTAGTTTAGACCACTTTGCTCCTGGGTTTGCTTTGCTTTTATATGACTGATTTACTGTATGGTTTGGGTCCATTCTTGTACTGTGTCATGTTAAATTCACCCCTAATCACAACACCTGCAAACTGGATTTCATGTTAAAAGGAGTGAATTTGTAATATGCAACTTCTCCAAATGTGGCAGTTTACTGTATTTGATTCCTGAGCTTTGGCCAGGTGAAAGAATTGACCCTGACCCATTAGTTGAAGTGTATAGCTAAGAGCAAAATAGATTAATACTGCACTGACTTCCATGTATGTCTAACTTTTGTTTACTTTTCAGGAGAAGAACTAAAATAAATGGCCGTTCTTTTCTTCTAAGGTCCTCATTGTGTCAAGATATATTTGATCATAGTCACAGCTTTAGGAGATAAACTGACACACTAACCTTTGTAAGAGGGATGAGTTTAAAACCACGGTCTGTTCTTGTTTTTCACTTTTTATGTGGATGAGGTAGCAGTCTTGTACCTCTCTCCATCACCGCAACCATCATCTCTTTTTACTCGTAAAGGGTAGACGTGTCTGCAGGCCTTAATAAAATATCTGCAATCTTCCGTAACAAGTTCTTTCCCCTCTGAATAAAGCAGTAAAGTTGTGCATTTAAAAAAAGATTTGTATCTTAAAAGCATTATCAGTCAGCTGCGAGCACTTCTTATTATTGTACCTGTTTCTTCTTTTACAGTTGATCTTCTGCAGAGTAATGGCTAAAACTAACATTAGGACTGAGTGCTTACTTTGCAAAGCTTGTAGTACATTTTAATGCTTATATATGATATTAGAAAGCATATCGTCCTCTCCAGTACACACCTTTACACGCTCTTTTTTATCTGTCTGTCCCTTTATATTTTGTGTTATTCAGATGGAACAGGCCAAGCAAGAGCTGAGCCGTAAGGACAGCGAGCTGCTGGCTCTCAGGACCAAACTGGACACTCTGAACAATCAGTTTTCTGACAGCAAACAACATGTGGATGTACTCAAAGAGTCACTAACCGCCAAGGAACAGAGAGCTGCCATACTACAGACTGAGGTTTAGCTACACCCTCATTACAACCTTTCTGCTTCTTCACCGTTGATATTTGGTGTGTGAATGTTTATTTGCACTTTTGCGTACCTACTTGTGGGTTCACAGGTGGATGCCTTGCGTCTCCGACTGGAGGAAAAGGAGTCGCTCCTCTCTAAAAAGAGTCAGCAGATCTCAGAGCTGACGGAGGAGAAAAGCACTCAGCAAGGAGAGATCACTGACCTCAAAGACATGATGGACGTCAAGGAACGCAAAGTTAATGTTCTACAGAAGAAGGTGAGAACACACAAAATGCACTCCATTAATATAGACACATAAAGCAAAGTTGAAGTCCTTGTGATCCCTGTTTTAGGTCTGAGCTAACCAGTAATTGTAGAGTCCTGGGTTAATGCACTGCATTTGTTATGGTTTAAAATGTTACAGGGTGAGCATTTATGGAGTGTTATCCTTAATTTAGTACACATTTAAAGTACACTGCCTCAATAGGCAGTGTACTTTTTTTCTTTTAGCTGATTCTGGTCATGTTGCCCTCATAGTACTAGCTTACTTCCAAATAAACCAGCATCACCATTACCTCTAATATTGTCAGTTTCATCTCTTTGTGTCCAGAGGAAAACTGCGATATTCAGACTTTTTGGATAATGGATAACATGCATTAGAGCTGAAGCAGACACACCTTTACTCCTTTTCATGCTGATAGAAATTGATGTTCTGAGAATATGCCAACATTTAATACTATGACCACTAGATGGGGCTCTAACACAGCATGTAGCATGCAAGCAGACATTGACAGACAAACAGTCAGACAGACAGGTGAGCAGAAAGACACAGCTGCACACAGACAGGCCGTTTAGGCAAAACTGAAGTCTCTGGTGTTTTCTGCATACTTTTTCCTGGTCTTCACTATGTAGTTTTTGTGAGTATCTCTGCGGTAATGCTGTCAGTTAGATGGATGGGCCAGAGTGACCCCTTGTCTTGGCTGTCTACACACACACATATACAGACACACACATTCACCCTGCTATCCTAAAAACTCTTGTGCTTGTCAGATATGTTGGTGGAACTTTTGGAATAAGACAATTTAAGCAAACTACCATAACAGCTATTGTAGTGGTTTTGAATGGGGATATCTAAAGGAGGATTCTTGCAGTCATCTAGGCCACTGCATCTAACACAGTAAGTGCAAAGCTTACAGAGAAGCCAGTGTGAGGTTGCATTCCTCCATCATCAGTCTTTTGTGTCTTTTCTGCGTCTTAATTTTCTCCCTCACCCAGTCGCAGCATTTGTGTCCTGTAGAAAAAAATGCAGAAATGGAGACTGTGTGCAGATAATTGATACAGACAATCAAGCAGACAGACATAAAGCAAGACAGGGAGGGGGAGGAGAGAGACAGAGTGTGTTTAAAATCATTAGATGCATACTAATGAGTTCCTCTTGATTAATAAATGATGACCTCTGCCATCTTCAAATGGAAAACAGTTCAGAGCCTGATAGGGAGGCAGAGATGCTGCTGATTCCTTCTTGATATCATCTGAAAAAAGTATGAATTTGGTCTCCTTTTTTCATGTGAAAACACAAAAAATACCTTCTTTCCGTTTTGTGGCCCTCCTCCTCGTGTTTTAATAGTACATAGATGATTTCTGCTGCGAGGAACATTGTGACATAGCTGATCATTGTTTTTGTATTGGGTCATTATCACAGATGACTTGGGAACTAAAATAGGACAAGAGAGAAGCAGTGAGTGAGTGTGTGTGTATGTGTGTGTGTCAGGTTCAAGAAATGCAGATCAAAGGCTCTCACTGCCTCTCAATGTCAAGTGTGTGTTCACATATGTGTGTATGTGCATGTGTGAGACAGGAGACAGAGAGGAGGAGGAGGTGGAGAACGTGTCAGTCAACCTGTCAGGTCAACAGTTGATTAATGAGGTGCTGGAAATGTTTTACTGTATGAACACACAAGCACACACACACATGCTCGCAATTTTTGTAGTGCTGCGTGTGTGTGTGTGTGTGTGTGTGTGTGTGTGTGTGTCTCACCTGCAGTGATGTCAATCTGACTCCAGTCTTTTTTTGTGAGAGTTTGCCAATCATTTGATTAACTTTCTCTCTGGCAAGGGGAAGGCAAGAGAAGCATAAAGAGGGGGAGATTGAAATTGTGCAATAATCCCACCCAAGTTCACTCATATGAAGACATTACATAAGCTTTCAAGCTCTATTTTCCTCCTGATGCTGTTATTTCTGTATGGTTCAACCTTTTGTTCCATCTATTTCTTAATGAAGACCACAAAGTTGACATAACTTCTTATCTTTGTCTGTGATCACTCTCTGTCCCGCCTTCCTTTTTCTCACACAGAGAGCTTCACATGTGCTGGTACTTCTAGCTTTGCGAGGACCCTCATTTACATAATGGTTTCCCTGTGTAGTCACATCTAAACTATCCCTAACCCCGGCCTACAGTAATTCTAACCTTCACCCTGCAGTTTAACCTGAACCCTCAAAGAGCCTCAGACTTGCCTGAAGCTCAAGTTGTTGCTTATGTAGATTGATACATGTGCACACACACACATACACACACTTTGTCCACATGTTTAAGATGTGCTGCTATATTTGCATTTCTTCTGCAGAAGTTCAGTTTCCTGTGGACTTAAAAGCACCTGCTACAGTACTTCACTTTGGCTGAGTCTTAGAGCCAATAGAGCTGCCAACAAAATCTCACTGAGTGGTCAATGCGCAAATTATTCTTGAAAACCCCACAGAATTATTCTCTCCTTTTCTTTCTGCAGATAGAGAACCTCCAGGATCAACTGAGGGATAAAGAAAAACAGCTGAGTGGCTTGAAAGACAGAGTCAAGTCTCTGCAGACAGACACCTCAAACACAGACACTGCACTGGGAACGCTGGAGGAGGCTCTGGCTGAGAAGGTATACACACATGCACGTACACGCTCACCCGACCGTTTAACTCTTGAGCAAGGTTGCATTAATAAAATCTTGATGAGCAAAACTGCAGACCACCCACAGGATGACCAGATGGCTCTGGATAAATGGAAATCGACCAATAATCACACTGGCTGTTTCATTATTAAATCATCCAGAGCTTGTGTTCATAAAAGATTAGGAACTGTCCAATGTGCAGCCACATGGCTCAAAGTAGTTCATTGGTCACTCTTTGGGTTTGGACATTCAGGTACTTTAGCCACAGAGCCGACTGTTTTATGACTCTGCTCTCAGTGGGGATTTAACCCTGATTCTGGGAATCTAACCAGCGACATTTAGAGCGGCAGAACACTTTAAAGTGTTTGATGAGAATATATTTTTGCGGTGTTATGCACGATTATGTTACCAACTCAATCTCCTTTGCATTTGCACGCGCACAGGAAACAGGCCTATTAATTGTCCAGTGACTAATATTGAGGGTGTCAGTTAGACGTGTGAGTGTTGGCAGGATGATGTGGCCGACGACTCCTGCTTCACTTGCACGGCTTTCACAAGCTTTTTTCCCTCTCATTTTCATTCTGCTGGCGCCTTTCATTTTTAGCTTTCTTCCTTTCTGCATCCATTTTTATCTCCTTGCCCTGCTTTCGTTTCTTCTTCTGCTTCTGAGATGAATTATGTTGCATTTTAACTTTCCAGTGCTTGAGTTTTATGCACAATATTACTCATGTTTGATGGTGTTTGCAGCTATATTCTGTATTTTTGTCTCTGTAAATGGTAGAAACAACCATGACTGAAATATTTGCATCCCTCATTCTGTTATCATAATTATTTTGAAGAATGTTGATGTTACAGTGGTATTCTTCACGAAAACCAATAAACCCAGAATTAATTAATTAATTAAAGTCTTGACTAAGGAAGACCCTCATTGGTTTGTCTTTACAAACTATTGAGTTTAACCATTAAAGTGCAAGGTGCAAAATATGAAAAAATAGAGGTGGTAGAGAATTAGATGGAAGAGAAATATAAGAGTGATTGTATAGTAACTATTTAATTCTTTAATTGCTTAATTCTTCATAGCATTGCTACAATATGGCGAAAATAATATTCCAGGATCACAGAGATTTGTCAGCTGGATGTCCGTGATGTGACTCTGAAGGCTATTTGAGTACAGCGAACTCATTGTCATGTTCAGGAAAGCATACGAATGTCGTGGCAGAAATTGCGACTCATCAGACCAGGCACTGTTATAGCCTCAGTTGCCCGTTAGCTGACAGGAGAGGCACCCACTGTGGTCTGCTGGTGCTGTAGCTTATCTGCTTCAAGGGTCGACGTGTTGCACATTTAGACATGCTGTTCTGCATACCTTGGTTGTAACAAGTGGTTTTATAAGTATCTGTTCCCTTCCCATAAGCTTGGGGTATTCTGGCCATTCTCCTCTGACCTCCAGGCATCAAAACGGCATTTTTATCCAGAGAAATGTCACTCTCTGGATATTTTCTCTTTTTCATACTATTTTCTATAATGATTGTGTGGCAAAATCCCAATAGATTAACTAAGTGTTGAAACACACACTAGCCTGTCTGGCACCTACAACCATGCCACATTCAAAGTCACTTAGATCACATGTCTTCCCCATTCTAATGCTTGGCTTGAATTTCAACAGGTAATTGTGACCATGTCTGTATATCTAAATATATTGTGTTGCTGCCATGTGATTATCTGATTAAGTTTTTGTGTTAATGAGCAGTTGAGCAGGTGTATCTAAGATCCAAGTGGCTGCTTAGTAACCATGATAATATTCAAGCTTTGAGGATTTCAATGAGATGCTGTTGTTGTGAAATTATAAAAATGCAATGCTTTTATAGTGTTACAGATGCATAAATGATAAAAAGGGTCATTCAACAGGTCAATGTTAGGCAATATGGTGAGATCATAGTATCTGATGTACATAAGAACATTCAAGATGTATCTGTGTGCCAGGTTTGATAGCTCAACTCCTGATAATATAGGATGAGAGTTAGAGATTGAATTTATTGCAGTAAGATTTAACACTACTTCTAAAGTCAACCTTAAACTAACCTTTAGCCAAAGTGCCACCGCTTTTATTTTGTACAAGTCAAATGAGGACCCATAATAATAATATTTTAATAACACACACTGCAGCCCCAGTATACACTCTTTGCACTGCTTTTGCACGTGTGAACTTTTGTACTTTGACTTGAACGGGCCGCTACGTTCTTCTCAAGCTATAGAGATCGGTTATTGTATTTTAGTGGTTGTGAATTTTACATCTTCTGCCAAAACATATTATGGGCCTAAAATCGCTGTTGGCTGTTAGATCCTGTCAAAGCTGCCATGTACATAAAGTTTAATATGACTGTTATTAGTATAGAAACTTGATATTGAGTGACTGTGAATGACTGTTGGAGGGTATGAGGTGATTTTTTTTCCTCTCTTATTTTCCATCACTTCTTCTACCTCGACTACCTTCTTTCACTCCAATCTCCTTCCTTCTCTCTCCCTTTCTCTTTTTTCACTCCAGGAGCGAATCATCGAGCGGTTGAAGGAGCAGCGGGAAAGGGAGGAGCGGGAAAAGGGGGAGGAAGTGGAGACCATCAAGAAGGAGCTGAAAGAGCTGAGGGAGAAAGTCTCCCAGCTGCAGGCTGAACTGGCTGACCGTGAGGTAGAAGACACACTCAGGAATTTAAAAACACACGTCCATATTTGTGCTAAAAGTCAGAAAAACACATTCTCTCTCCTTCCTCACTGTGTTCCTGTCAAGAAAATGTGATTGATCTATCACTGTAGAGCAGACCTTGAATCCTCCCAGAGTTCTTTCGCTGAAGGACAACGATGAAACAGTCATGTTTCCCTGACAACAAAATCCAAGGCCCACAACCAAAAGAAACAATGATCAGAGCTGAATTTTTCTGCCTGTGACCTTTGTGATTTGTACAAAACACCTCAGCAGAGGCAAAGACAGAGAGATGCAGAGAATGACAAAGCATTCTCAGACTCTGTTTTCTCTTTATTCACCCTGCAGCACAACAGAATAAAAGTTACTATTAGCCAATTCATGAAGTTGAGATTAGAAGGGGACCTGTTATGCCGATGAGCTCTATAAACCCACCTAGATCATTTAAGCAAAACTATTCCAAGGTGATGTCAGCTTGACATGAGTCTGAAGCATAACATTTATACATATTCTATATTAAGCTTATACATCAGACATGCAAGATCCACTTTAAGGAAAATAAATATTTTAACATAGATTTTCTGTTATGAAAGCCTATCGCAGTGTAACTGACGGTCCTGCTTTAAAGCCAAAAGACAAGAAAGCAAATTAAGAAGTAACACAACTATCAGAAGGGACACCATCAAAACTAAACTATTGTTTACTGCAGGATTTGCAGTAAGAGCAAATTTAACTATGTGCCTTAGTTATTTTACTAAGGCATATAAGGCTCTAATCCAGTGAGCGACTGGGGCCTTTCTGGGTAGACTTTGCATGTTCTCCCTGTAACTTTCTGGGTTTTCTCTCGGTACTTCAGCTTCCTCCCACAGTCCAGAGAAATGAATGTCAAGTTAATTGTTGATTCTGAATTGAACTTTAGAGAGCAATACATGTAGAAATGCAGTTTTCTATTGTAAAGGATTTTGTTCAATTTCAGTTCTGTTTTATTTAATGCAGAATCACAACAGGAGTCCCCTGAAGGCACTGTGTATTGTAACATAGCTACAATAATACAGAGAAAACCCCAACAATCAAATGACCCACTTTAAGCAAGCACTTGGCGACAGTAGGAAGGAAAAAAACCCTTTAAAGGGAAGAAACCAATAGCAAAACAAGACTCAGGGAGGAGCAGCCATCTGCAATGATGGGTTGATGAGATTTCCTTATGCATATATGGAAAACACAAGGTGGGAATATTCCAGTACAAAAACAGTGAAGGCATCAGACATGGCATTGATAAAGTTAGATGCAGCATGAAAATGAGGAGCTGGGGTTGAGGTGGGTTGCAAAGCTTCTTGCAGAGGGAGCAAGAATTGTAAGCAGGGTAAAGCAATCACATTTGGATGTGTAGAATGATATTGGCTGTGTCACAATTAGGCTGTGTGCAGGCAGGAATTGGACCCAAACGCAAACTCACGGGAAACAGGACTGAACTCAAAATACTTTATTGCTGACAGAAGTTAAAGGCGATACAAAATAATATAAAACTAAACTGGGAGATTCTAAAGGAACTGACTCATGAGGAAACACACGGCAGGACACACAGTCATGTGGGAGAACACAACACAGAACTGAGGGAGACGCGGACATAAATACGCAGATGGTTAATGAGGGAAGTGGGAGCACACGGGGAACACAGGTGACACTGATAATCGTAACGAGACACGGCAGGAGTAAACACAACAATGGCGTACACAGACGGGAGACTATCAAAGTAAAACAGGAAGTACACAGAGACGCAGACCAGAGAGGAAGAGAACACAGACATAGCGGACCAGGGAAAGCGTGAAATAAAACACAAGGAGGAGAAACGAGGCATGGGGACTCAGACACGTGGAGGGGGACACTGGGGGTAAAGACGGCAAATCTAGTAAACTAAACTGAACAACCTAGGAACCATGGAATGAATAAAGAACAAAATACAAAAACATAAGAAACCTAAGAACACTGGGTCAAAATGACCCAGGACCATGACAGGCTGGCTAGCATAGAGGTACTGTATTCTTGATATGAAGACTCCTGTTGATCTTTTTCAACAAGAAATTGATTAGGTAAAGTTACCAAACTCGGGCTGTTCCTTTAAATGGGCAGTTTTCTACTTGTTACTGTAAAAAGTTCTCTGTACCCTGTCTGACTGTACTGTATTCCTTAAACTAATTTTAGTGATTGTGGGGTCATAAAACCTGTCACAGTCCTATAATATAATTTCAGAAATACATGGGAAACTCTCAGAGAAAACAAGCATTCCTCTCTCTGCTGCTGAAGGCAGATGTGGGGTTTGTCTGACAACAGGAGTATATATGCGTACCTAAATATAATCAGAGCAAGGTTTCTTTGACCAAAGCCCAGTCAAACATGATGATCCGGAGTCTAGAGTTGTTATTGTCAGTCATGGATAAAATTACATGTCTGACAGTCTCTCCTTCTGGTCTCATTGGTTTCTGTTTCACTGCGCCTACCAAAAGAGGAAATCCCAAGAAAAGAAAGAAAAAGAGAGACTTCACAGACAGACGGATTGAGCCTGAGAGTGCGAAAAGAGACAGGTCACAGGAAATGCAATGACAAACAGAGTGCATGATCGAAGGGTTTAAGAAGGGCTTGCAGATTATTATCACTTTAAATCTGTTTGTCTAATATCACATATTATGAATAAGAATTTCTTTCTGTAATATAATCAGAAGCACACAAATGTTTTTTCCCTACCTCATAATAATTATTTTTGCTAAATATAACATTATTGTTATAGGTTGGAAAAAATAAAAAAATGTAATTAATCCATTGTTGTTTTCTAATGGGTGTGAAGAATAAGCTAAATAAGTAATAACTATTAAGGAGCTGTCTCCAATGTTTTTTCCTCCACCCAGACATCAGTGTTGGATCTCAAGGAGAAGGCTTCCTCTTTGGCCTCCTCGACTCTCAAGAAGGACAACAGGCTGAAAAGTTTGGAAATAAACCTGGAGCAGAAGAAAGAGGAGTGCATCAAGCTGGAGAACCAACTAAAGAAGGTTAGCTGAAAAGGCTGTAAATATAAAGTAAATAGCAAATTATTCATAGAGCTATGAAAGCAGAAACGCTGATGCCTTCAAAGAGAGAACGAGGGATTTTATGTCACCTGTTGTAGGCCGCATTTAGACAAAAGCAGGTGGAATTTTCTTGGCTCATTCCTGACGACTACAAGATTATCTACTGCATGAAACTCAGAGGTGAAAAGCTGTTTAGAGTAGCTACAGTTAAAGCATGGAAAACAGCAGAAAACTAAACCTAACCTCTCATTTCTTTTTGCGCCTTCCTAGGAAGGCAGAGAGTGTGTACGTGCACGTGTGTGTGTGTGCATATCACATACGTATTCTCTCCCACACAGCAGCCCAGAAAATGTTGTGTGTGTGACAGCTTGCTGACAGCCTTACAGTCACTTTCACAGACTGGTGAAGACAGCACACCATCACATGCCGAATGTGTATCCAGAGCTGTGTGTGTTTCTGGATGCATGTGTGTTGGTATATGTGTGTGAGAGAAAAGGGGGAATGTGTGGTGTTTTACTCATCAGACTTGATTTCAGTCTCTTTTTTTTACTGTAACGCGGATGGAAAAATTGTGAATGTGACATTGTGTGCGTGATGTTTCTTTCTTCCTTTATTTGTCTTTCTCTGTCTCTGCTCCACCCAGATCTTCTCAAACATTTCCTCTCCACATAAAGACTTATGAAAACTGTTGTACACTTCCAAAACTAATAGGGTTTATGTATCGTAGGAGCAAGGCATTCGCACATACACACACACACATACTAAGTCCATCCCAAGAGCAACATTTACTTCTGGGAAATATACACAGCTGTTCTAACCTCTAAGCTGGTTATAACTTGTTGTATTTGTCTTTGTTTTTTTTCTTTCTTCTTCTCACATTTTCTGTGTCTTAAGTTTAGATGAACAGAGCAGAAGAAAGAAGAGAGCCACTAAAACTTAGATGCTTTTTGAATTTATTCACCTTTTCTCATCGTTCATACTAATATTTACCAGAAACTTAGCTTGTGGTTTTGTCTTTTTTTGTTAATGTTATATGTGTGCCAATTTGCGAGTGTGTGAAACACATATGCCTAATACTTTCATTTATATTATATTCTCCTCATCGTCTCTTTCTCCTTACCATGGAGAAACAGATATTTCAGAGCAGTTAGGGCAGAGGGTGGTTTAAAAATATCGTCTGACATGGGTGTAAAAATGAAGACACAATTCACCAAATCTAAGAAAGATGTCATCTAATAAACATCTGTTTATTAGATGACATCTTTCTTAGATTTGGTGAATTGTGTCAAACATGTGGCATTCTTAAAAGTCATTACTTTAAATATTAATTTGATACAAATATAAGCTTTTAGCATCGGAACCACACCTGTCTAGTCTTGAAAATCTTACAATTTAAAATGTAAAATCTATAAAAGTTTATAAGAGGCGATCATAGATTTGTTAGAGACATGTGGACCAAAAAAAAGAAAAAATACAGTAAGCTGACTGAGAAATTAAAGTCCCCCAAACAATCAGCTAAAACTAGAATGAAGCCATTGCAATACAAATGGTTAATGAAAATTTATATTATGCCACAAAACCTGTGTTGTTTGTCCCCTGGCATCCCAGACGCCTGTTGGACATGTTCAGAAGAAAACAGTATTGTGTTTCGCTGAGTATGAGACTGCTCAGAACTGAAGAAATACTGTTGTTCAGACTTTATCTGCTAAATTAAGGTGAAGGATGTGCACATACATCCAGCACAGGTCTTCACATTTCTCGCTAGTAATAAACAGAAATTTTTTTTTGAGTTTTTTGGAGTGGAAAACATGGAAAAAAACACTAGGAATATTTGGAAACAATTAGAGCCCTTTAAAAAAATGTGTAACACGCTTTGTACATAATTTCTACAATACTGGGGTGTCTATTTCAACAGTTTGCTTTATATGCTACTATAAATGCAGTATCTAAAACCTGACATATACAAATCTTGTATCTTACCGCTAAAGCCTGATGTTTAGAGCTAAATGTCATTTTATTTAAGAGGAACACTTCCACTAAAAATTTTCTAAAAGCATGCATCTTTTTGAAATCCATCCAGCTCACCCTCCACACATGTTGTTACTGGCACGTCCTTTTTTGGTTTGAGCTTATCGTTTCAATCGCGTGATGGTCACCTCATTTTGAAAGCTAACACTTGGTTTATTTTTAATAATTAAATCCTGTTCCAGGCTCAGAGTGCAGCGGCAGAGTCTCAGGCCAACGCTGAACTCTCTGAGCGGATCTCCAGCCTTGAGCAGGAAGTGACCCGGTGCAAAGAGGAGGCTGGGAAGGCCCAATCTGAGGTGGAACGACTTCTCGAGATCCTCAGGGAGATGGAGAATGAAAAGAATGACAAGGAGAAAAAGATTCATGAACTAGAGAGGTAAGAAAGGATGATAAATATGGTAGATTAAACAATTATCGACACTGAGCAGTTTTCTTTTAATACTTGTGTATCTCTTTCCTTTAACCTAAATCAATGGATAAATTGTGTTTATTGGTGAAATGATTGTTTATCTAAGGCTCAGTCACACAGGCCTAGAGATTGGTCCCGATGGAAAAATTTGTATTCCTCCACTGGCTGTAAGGGGCTACTGGAGTTTGCTGGCCGTGACTGTGAAATCAGTTGCTAAAGCCTCATTCATTCATTCAGGGTGTCACTGACCTGTCTCTAGGTTGTGTGAAAGACTGTGTCTCAGATTCCACTTTACCACCCATTATTTTTATTTTCTGACTGAATCTGAAGCCGATAAGAGTCATTGGTGATCTTTCCTGTAAGACGAACTCATTAGTTGTCGAAGGCTCATTCCTCTCCCTCTTTTTCTTCCCATTTCCTCCTACCATTTTCTCCTTTATTTCTTGCACCCTAATTCATCTCTCCATCCATTCCCCTTCTTATTCCCATGTTTATACACAAATATGTGTATATTCACATTGGTTCGCATTGGTGTGAGTGCATTTATGGTTTTTTTTGTGTGTGTTTGCGCTCATAACATCCCGTAACATCCCAGAAATCCTGCTGCCTCTCATCTGTGGCGTTCTCAGCAGTCGCGAAAACAGGCCCCTGCCCCGGCTGCCTCTCAGCAGCCAATGGGGGGGCTAGTATGGGACTACCTGGGCACGTGAGTGGCTGACAGCTCTGTCAGTCAGTTATTTGTCTGACCACTGCACGAAAGAAACTCACTTTGCTTGTCAGAAGAGCACTGTGATAATAACCCCCACCCATGTGGAAAAGGCTATGAAGCATTAGCCACAGGGTAAGAAGTTTGGATTTTAGATGAAAAACATGCAAAACAAATTCATAAATCTGGATTATTAGATAAAAAATAATGACTGACAGCATCTTACACATATACTTCATTCATCATAGGTTGTGTATAACACTGAAAAAGATCTTCTCTCGTCAGGTTTTCTTGTATTTGCCAGCCCTTTCCACATGGGACAGAGCTGAGTATGTTCACTAATAATCACCATCAAAGAGTTGCGGCATTGGATCACTACTTGCTGAGTTTCTCTGTTATGGTGTACTTGTACTGTTCTCTCTCCCACGTCCAGAAATTGGAGCTAGTTGTACTCTTACATATCTAGGCATGAGCACAAAGTCTTAGTCGCCTGTTACTGCAGTATGACAAGCCAAACAGCTCCCCAAAGTTTGTAAAATGAGGGCACAGTTTGGCACCGAAGTTGCTGTACAGCACCGAAACTCTTTGAGCCTCTGTTCCTGTCAATGATGCAACTCTTTCATTTAGTGGCTCTGTTTTCTCGCTTCACTTTTGCTTCACTTTCAGCAGAGGATGCTTGACTTGCAGAGTTTACCACAATCGTTTTCTTTTTCAGACTCTTTTTCAGATGTTTCTATCCACTTTTCCACCTTGCTGTGCAATTTTGGATTAACCTTTCTCTCAACCTTTCTTGCCTGTGTACACCATGTCTACCTCATTAGCTATTCTTATTCTGCCTTTCCTTTCTGCTTATATCTGCTTATTTCTCTGCCTGTAGCTTCTGTCTGCCTGCATGCCTCCCTAACTCTGTGTTTACCTGAATACCTGTTTGATGTTGTGCCTCTGTGTCTGTTTAGCCCCAGTACGTAAAGAAATTATATTACGGACAGCAGTTCGATATTAGTGGTTTGAGTTTTTTAAGGGTGTGTTTGGTGCATTTTTAGTTGGTGCTGTTGAATAATGGAGAATGCATTGCTCTTGTGAAATTAGAGTTCATCTTCATTGGTTAAATGGGCCAGATGGTGTCTATAGCCCGCCTGTCTTCCTCTCTCTGAATGGCTTTTTATGCCTTTGATTTCTGAACTTTCTTATGCCATCTGTCAGCGCCTACTCGCTTGCTGTCTCTTGAATCTTTTACTTCAGTTTCTTTCTTGGACAGAATCTCCACCCATCCTAACTCTAGATTCGCCTCCTTTTCTCTGTCTGTGCATTTAGCGACGTGACTGCGAGATTTATGGTTGTTAATGATTTCAGGGAGATTCACTGCATCTCTCTTTGGCCAGTAGAAACACAGGACTATTAATAATTCAGCACCGAATAACTTCAAACATGTGTGTTTTAAGTGTGTCTGTGTGATGTTTAGTCTGCCAGTAGCCACAGATGCAGATTTACAGCAGTACTAAGTTTACAGACAACATTATACAGTAACTTTATAAGCAATTAAAATTGCAGATTGGTTTTATATGGAAAGATGTTTCATTATCCCAGTAGGGTACAATAAAATAAAAGCATCTTAAAAGTGATATTTAATATCTGGAGTTTGAAAGCTGCTCTTTGGTAAGTGGAAAAGTGTTACATTTAGACTTAGAAAAGTGTCCTTTAATACAAAATTTTAGATTAAGTATGAGTAAATTTTACTTGCTCTTAAAGTAATTGCTGTGAAGTGAAGTGTTGTACAGCAGTCATATCAGAGGATATGCAGTTCTTTGTACATCTTATCATGTAGCAGATTCATTTAGCTGTTAGGGGTGTGATGAGGGAAACTATCCATGGCTAATTTCAGTGATTAAGCCATACAATCTCTTTGATAAGATGGTGCAACAGGCTTAGAGGTACATTTTCTGTAGGTTGGAGTGCACTGCTCCTTTACTGTGGCAGTGTTGTATATACAGGTTTCCGCAAATTACTAGACGTAGCTCAAAAAGGTATGTCAGGATATCCTTTTTATTACTTTTGTTTCGATTAAATATCATGTGGATTGCAGTGATAGTGGTAGTGGATTTGCCTCTTAAAACGTTAATCGTTCGATTTCATATAAAATAGTTCCACTTGTCATTTCTAAAGTTGATTTTTTTCCGTCTTGGGACAGAGCTGCTTATGCTACCCTGCTCTGACGTCATCAAGTCAGATGGTGAATGCACCAACTGACTTGTTGCAGCGGTGCCATCCTATTATTGTACCACGCTCTAATTCAGCCAGCACTTTAGAATAACCAGTTCTTTTACAAATGTTTGTAAAAAGGAGACTGCATGGCTAGTTGCTTTGTTTTTTGCACCAGAATTGAAAGAATAACATTTTTGTCTTTATAGTCTACTTTTCGAAATTTGACTGGAGAAGTCTGATAACTGCCATGTTAAGGATTATTATGATGTTTCTGGTTATGGCTGCTTATATCTGATAGGACATAAATCATTGAAGTTGAAGGATAGTATTGACCATATAGGTCAAGATACCAGTGAGCTGTTTTAGCATAGCTGCTGGTCTAAACAGATAGATGGTTAAAATTAGCTTTTGCAGTCCCTGCTTGAGATAGCAACCTTATATTCTGTAACAAGGCTTTTGTGAAACCTTATATGTACAAATGCTGATTTTATCCTCAAGCTGCCTAAGCCTGCTGTGAATTATACGACTTTGTCTGGAGCTAACAGGTATGTCAGAGGAGAATACATTTGCCACAGGCCAACTCTTAGCTTGGCACCGGGGCTAACCTTGGGCTACAAGTGAGCAGCGGGAGCATTACTAATGAAAAGATCAGATGTGGGTTAAACAAGGGTAAGAATCAAGCCTCTCTGTTTCCCCTGTAGTGTAAATCCAGCTGCAATGGCACCAGGTTATTTATTTCAGTAACAAGGACAGTAATTGGAGCAGACTGAGTGACTTCACACTGAGGGGAAATGGGGCTGAAAATCTGCCCTGATGGCCAAAATAAAGGATTTGGATGGAAGAGTGGAAAACGTAGAGAGGACAGAAAAAGGAAAGGGAAAGAAACGTGGTGGAAGAAGAAAAACAGCGAGAAAGAACAGAATAACGAGAGGAGACGTACAGAGAAGGGAAAGAACGGGCTGCGTCGCAGGGAGAGGGAAACAGAAAACAGAACTCACGGAAAAGACAGAAATGGGAAAAGGATAAGAGAGAAATATGAGAAAACGGGAGGAGGTTTGGCGAGAAGTAGAGTGTAGACCTGAGTAGTGAGAAATTAGAGAAGTTTATTGTTATATTCCTCAGTAATGGACAATTTGTCTCTGGCATGCTCAGTCAAAGTTCAGTTATGAGGAGTTATTGCATGGAAAACGTTTTGGGTATGCCAGTTTAGGAAATGAATTTTCTTTAAGATTTCATGTCTTAATGATTGCATGCTGGTTACCCTTTGCTTGAGATTTTGCAAATCCACAACCGGTGAACTGTTTAAGTGGCCCCGGTGGGAAGCAAAAGAAGTCATCCACAAAATCTGAACCATTGAAGAAATATTTCATAGAGAGCTTGCCCTCAGCTTCTGCTTTGATTGGCTAATTGCTCACTTTCCATGGTTTGTCATTGTGCCCTTAAATGTTTGTAGGGGTCATTTGAGTTGAGCGGGCCTCTCATAGCCCTCAGTGTTGTACTGAAAGGAGAAAAGCCTGAGTCTAACCTGTTTTTATGAGACTGTCTGCCTGCCTAACTGTTTGCTTGGTCATGCCTGTCTTCTTGTCTTAGTGTCCGCCTGCTGTCTCTCTTTGGGTAATTATGTCTCTCGGCCTGTTCTTTTGTCTCTTACGTCTTTCCTGTGCTTTGAAGATTGATCAAGCTGGCTAACCTAGCTCTCAACTCCTGTTTCCCCTCTCACCTTTCCCTCTCCTTCTCTCTCTTTCCCTTTCTTTTAACTTTCCAATGGAACGTTGTCTCCCGCTCTACTCAGTCTTGCCTCAAGGTTAGTACAGCATGCCTATTTTTCTTCCTTCGTCATTCTCCCTGTATTTCTCTCATCTCTCTCCTTTATTGTCATACTGCGTGTCCTTGCATCAAGACACTTACTTCACTCTGTCATAAACTCTGATTTTAATAATTCTCATCATATCTGTCTGTCTTTGAAGGAGGCACCTTGACTTTCACTTCACTCTTGCTGTCACATTGGTGCCGCTTTGAAGAGGAAACATTGTTTCTTCCTTTCACTTTCCATTATAACACCCTGCCAGAGTCTTCACCACACTAGCAGTTAAACTTTGATACTAGAGCTTCATTTAATAACTTCAGATTTGAGGCTACCACAGCAAACGAGCAAAATGTATCTCCATAATTAACTTGGACAGCTGTGAACTTTTGCTCAGAGGTCTTTTTATCTCTGTTGGATTTCTGTCTGTGTGGCTCTTCTAAAGAAATTACTCCACTTTTCACATGTTCTTGACACCACTACTGAAAGTCTTAAAACTTGCCTCTAATAAGTATCACACATATAATGATAAAGAACTTAAACACTGAAACGTATAAATGTTTAACTGAAACTAAAGATTTTAAACCGTAAAAAGTAAATGGAAGTAAGCAAGGGAAACACCTTGACTCTTTTTTTTTTTTTAATCCATTCTGCTGGCGTGCTTGGGATCATTGTGCTTTTGCATGATCGAGTTTCAGCAAAGCTTTAGATAGATGTCCTCAAATTAGCCTCAAAACACTTTGGCATACAGAGGAGTTTATGTCTGGACTGGACAATGACTGGACAGTGTCATGAAATGCTTACCCTCTTAATTCCTATGCACACACTAAGGATGTACTTAGCTATTTACAGGAGAACAGAGGCCTTTGAAAACTTTCTTTTTTACGTGACTATTCATGGGGATTGTTTATCCAGCACTGGCATTAACTGGGTCAGAGAAATAGAGATTTCCACACTGGTGCTTTTTTCTCCAGAATCAAGCATAGACCATACAATAGTAGCTCTCCTAAATGCTACATTTGCTACTAGGACTGTGCGATATGACCAAAATCTCATATCCCAATATAAGAATTTTATCGTCCTGATAACGATATAAATCATAACATTTTCTGTAAATTCTGTGAATCTCGGGC